AAANCCTACGTCCAATGTGTCAGAGCCAACTTCGATCACGTTTTTATTTGAACGCTCGTTAATTTTAATTATAATTTCGCTATGAAAAGTAAAAGAAAATCACTGCCATAGCAACTTCGATTTATCTAAAAAAAACTCTTTCTGTAAATTGACGGTTAGACTTTTTTGTAATTGATAATAAATATAAACTTTTTTTATGGAAAAATTAAATTAAAGGCTAAAGGGATGTATTTAGATTAGAAAAGGTTGAATTATGATAGGTTAGGTAAAGCTAAGTTACATTTGTAGATTAGATTTGTGTATACAGGGTCGGAAAGTCTCCATGGTTCATCGGCCGTTACGCGAGAGCGATAAAGTAAGTCATAGAAATCCATGCGATAGAGAAGAATGGCTATAATGAAGGCGTGTCATAGTCACCGCCCGCTTCGCCCTTCCACAAATAAGATTCACTTCCACTTGTAATTCAGCGACCGGTGGTCATCTTTGTTTTCGTCGTTTGCCTTTTCTGTATTAGATGTCACTACTTAAACAATTCCGACTTCCTATTCCGATATGTTAATACAATCCGTTAACAGAGGGCAGCACAATTTGTCTAAGGTGAGGCGCAGCCCAAGAAAGAGTGATGCCAGATATACAGATTTTTTTGGAATTGGGGAAATAGGGAATTTTGCTTTATTTCTTGGGATTTTTAGGTCATTTTAAAAAGGATACTTAAATAACAACTAAATGAACTTTAAATGCAGCTGAGCACTATACCCTATTTGAATAACTTCTCAGTAGGGGAAACAAGGTCACTAGATTTGCAAACAGAGGTACTGCTCTACTAGCTACTGTAAAAAGTTTTCTTTGTTACGCGTTGTGCTGCCCTCTGTTAACGGATGGTATTAACATATCGGAATACCGAAGTCGAAATTGTATAAGTAGTGACATCTATTAAAGAAAAGCCAAACGACGAAAACAAAGATGACCACCGGTCGCTGAATTACAAGTGGAAGTGGATCTTATTTGTGGAAGGGCGAAACGGGCGGTGACTATGAGACGCCTTCATTATAGCCATCCTTCTCTATCGCACGGATTTCTATGACTTACTTTATCGCTCTCACGTAACGGCCAATGAACCATGGGGACTTTCCGACCCTGTATAAATTATTATGATGGAGATACTGAGAGACCGGCATTTCGATACCACTGATTGTTTTATGAATTTAGTGTTCATTTTTTGATTCACAATTGCATTTACAAAGAAAAAATTCCCCTTCCGTTATATCATATCCCAAGTGTGAAATATTTTCGAGTTATTGGTTTCATTGAAAATCTGTGCAAACAAACAGTGGTGTAGAAATTTGCTTCTTATTCTCCCTGAAAAATTTTTTACGCGAATATTTTATGGATTCTTTAGTGATTATATTGTATTTGCAACAGAAAATTCCTATACATGTTTGTTGATAAATGAATAGTTTTAATTTCTAAATCTTTGACCTGCCCTTCTTCTATAGAGGGCTCTGTGTGCAATCAGAGCCCCTATACCCGCTCTGATGTTAATTTCTGTGGTTGGTTCTGAGACTGCTACGGATAGAATCGCTCTCAGACAATGCTGATCCTCTGTGACTGTTTGAATTCGATGCTTCCAAACGTTTCGCCATAATTCATTGTAGATATCTTCAGTGGTGCTTCTGCAAAAGCTTTGCCGCGACTGAGGCTGTTCGCTTGGTAGGAAAAATTACCTTGGATGGGGCGAGGTCGAGCGGGACTATCGCTCTTTACTTACTATGAAATCGCTTGCGACCTCATCATCTGTTTTATAGCGTCAGTGTCGTTGTGCGTGCATTTAGGTTAACGCAGTGCAATGGTGGGAGGTCTCGTTCGTGTAGACATAATGTCACTATCGCTGCGCGCGCCTCTAGTTCTGTGGAGAGGGGTAGAGGGCGTGGTTACATATCGGTACCAATACAATGGTTTGAGTTCAGCTGTTTCCACTGTTGCTCTTTCATTAAAAAGGTTTGCCATTACCGGACTCAGAGCTCCCCATTGCAACCGTATTGTTTTGTTCATAGTAAAGTCCTTTCCACAAGAAGTAATAGGACGTTACACAAAGCTCAAATAAAATAGGATTAATTTCTGCGATGCGGACCAAGGTCTTAACAGTTTCAATGTATTTTTTATTGATGCCTTTGTGAACAAAGACTCCACATCAAAACTAACTAAAATGTTTGAGTCATTATTACCAGAGTCTAGAATATCTACGAAATGTCTTCTTAGGTGGTGAATTGAGTTGGATACGCGTGGTCGCGTCAAAGATATTGTGGTTCACCAGTGCATATATCGAATACCCGATTGCACTAACTATAGGACAAAGTGGGATATTAGGCTTATCAATTTTAGACTGCCCATATAGACATGAGGGCGGCTTTTGAAAGGTTGCAGGCTGTTGGTAACGTACGTCATCAGGAAGGCAAGCGGGACCTACCACTCAACTCCCACCTCTGCAATGTGCAATATTATGAATAGAAGGCGTGTACCAAATTAGAAAAAATATCTAGGGTAAGTAATACCAGTTATCATAAAAAAATGTTTTTTCGTAAAACTTTAGCATCCTGTAGATCAAAAGTTAAGACTTTTAGGACATATAAAGTTTTTTTCTTAAAATGGACCCAAGAATAATCCTAAATATTAGCACGTTATTAAGAAACACCCTGTATAGCATATGTATCTCTATCTCAAATTTTCAATTTCCAGGAAAACAGTTTTTGACAGCTACAAAACAACTGCAGATTCAAATTCAGGGGGTCAAAACTAATGTGTGGTATATAAAAAATCGTTAAAAACTAAAGCTGTGCCATTCTATACAATTACCATACGATTTTATTTTGAAATACATAGTTTAAATGACTGCATTAACATTATAGTTTTAATTTGAAAAAAAATACATTTTAAGGTGTGTTTAGAAGTATACAATGCTAAACAATTTACGATGGATACAATCCAGACACCTAGATCTTATAATAAGTGGCCGTGTTTTGATTCTGCCATTATTCATTTAACTCGGCCGGGAAGGGTTGGCCGGAAATATCGCACGACGTGCTAAAACGTATAAAACACCTGTAGGCGCGCCTCCACCCAACTTCCAAACTTCTTTGGGGTCTTCGCCACTGGACCGCAACTAACAATTTCAGTTCTCATCCTCATCTCCTGCGTTCCTTCTCATTTCAATTTGACTACATCTCTTCGTCCTGCTTACGCAAACATTTGCTTAATATATTATGGGGAAGGGCCGGGCCTAATAAAAAATGACCCACCCAAGCAATAATAAAACCAAATAATTAGTGACGGCCTACTAATAGTACTAAATTGTTACGAAATTTTACACAGGGGCGTAAATGAAACGCAGCTGAAATGTGTTATTCCTTTGATTACAATAAAATGGTTAATTTAGAGCTTTCGTAAAAGTCCATTAATATAAAATTGTTGTACAGGGTGTTTTGAAGGAAGATAACACAAGAGGCTGCTGATTCATTAAATCAAATTTTATATACTTTCCAAAAAGTAATATACTGAATTATGTTGAAATTTGGAACAATCGAGTTAGCATGCATTAGCATCCTGCATAGTACTGTTAATTTCTTAGAAGAGGTCGCTAGCTGCGGCATTTTTTAGCGTCATTTTGGAATATATTTTTAAGGTTAGGTTTCCTGCATTGTGTCTCATAGTAAAATAAAAAATTTCGTTTTACATTAAAAATACCCTTGAAAGGTTTTCGAGAAAAATTCACTTGATTCAACCAATTTCTATCCATATAGGAAGCTGATTCCTATAGATTATAGAAGGACCTGATACCACCTAACACATTCTAATAAAATAAACAGGCAGAGAAAATTTTATATATTTTTTCAAAACTCGTTTATTTAATAAACGAATTGATTTCCTTATTTAAAATTTGTATCACATGAAAACGTTATCATGCTACCAGTGGCACGGTTGTGGGCTGTGAGGTTCCCATGTAATACAGAGAATTTAAAAAAAAAAGTTTTATTCTAAAATATATTGTTGGAAAAAATCATAGCTAGTGACATCTACAAGATAGTCGAAAACTAATAATATCGACTTATTCATTTAAGATTCAGTTGTATCAAATAGTAATGCAAAATTTGATTTTAAGAAGTGCTGTTTGATACCTTGTACCTTAAATACAAAACAAAATGGAAAAAATCACCTTATTTTTATAAGCCGCTGAATTTATGGCAACCTCCTTCTGAACCATTGGTCCTGTGATAGGTTGTTTTGATCATATCTCTCTTTTACTATTCAATATATAGACCAATCAAACCTTAATATCGTTGCATCGTTCTATCCAACACTCTGAAAGTAGGTAAGTATGCAGTCTGTTGTATTTAAAAATAACATCATACCTTTTTTAACTTTTCCACGGATTGTCTAAATGATGTCAAATTTGACATCCAATCGAAACGGAGATAGCAAAGGATGAAGGATCTAAACAGAGCAGTTTCAGTGTTGTCAAATTGGTTTTTTTTCAGTTAAAAAAGGAATCCTGTACTCTTTTATATGGAATACGTTGTAGATTTTTTCTCCCGGTATAAAGCTTATAACGATGTAAGGTCTTAATAGTAAGAGAGATGATATTTTAATAGGTATAACGAAGAAGAAGACATAGGGCCAAATTCAGAGACTTCCCTAAATCTATACTAACCTTTCACTCATATCAAACTTATTCTCCACTCAACTTAGGGTGCCCTTATCTCATTCTCAATTCTGATATTCAGAAATGTGTCTAAATGAGTGACTAACTTAAGTGTGCATCAAACCACAAATTACTAGATAAGGGGACAGTTGCCTACTCAAATATTACCAAAAATATAATGACATCAATGAAAACCTAATGTCACATTTTTCTTTATTTTGAATTTGAATGTTGAAAATATATAGGTACATAATAAGTTACATTTAAATAATAAATAATCAAGATCAAATTAAAGTCTAATTAATTATCTAGGAAACCCCGCAATTTCAAAAAATTGTCGTTTCAATATTTCCGTGTGGGCTGGAAATTTAATTAGTCTTGGTAAACTTCTTGCAAGTTCCTCGCTAATTTCTCGGACAATTCTGCAGACCGAGGACTGACTGATTGTGGCTACATCAGCATAAACTTGCTGAAAAGAAATTAAATTACATTTAAATCAAGATATGAATAATAATAAAAGTCATCAATACCTGATAAGACCCTGTTGCAAAAAACCGCAATGCCACATACAACTTTAATGCAGGGGGAACTGGTAGTCCACGATTATCACCATCTCTAATGTTATGATAAACCATTGGAAGTACTGTAGTTTCTATAGTATCTCTTGAGAATCTAATACGTTGTATCAATTCACTGTTAGTGTACCTTTCAAAAGGATTAGAATTATCTCTCAATAAAATTCTGAAAATAAAATGGAAATATTAGTATTACTGCTAATTACAATAGGTAAACACTTTTAGTTACTTACCTAGGTACAGGTAAAAAACCATCAACATCTTCAACATAATTGAAAAATTCCCAAAAATCGTCTTCCATCTTACAGGATATGTATGTATGTAACAGAACTAATTTTTAAAAAATAATTATAATTTATATATCGTTCACGTATAGAATATCCTTTATTGAATACCTTGACTTAATTGTTTGTAAAATATACTGCTATACTATTATGAAACCACAAAATTAATAAATTAGGGACATTTAAGCAAATGTCAAACATCACTAATATGTC